TATACATATACATATATATATATATATATATATATATATATATATATATATATATATATATATATATATATGAATAATATGTATATGTATATATATATATTGTGTACTTCCGCAGTTTGTATTGATTTTTTTTTTTTTTTTTTTTTGTGACAGGGAGTTGTATAGTAATAACATAACTGGTCCGATACCAAGTGATCTCGGAAATCTGACTAATTTGGTGAGCTTGGATTTGTACTTGAATACTTTCAACGGTCCGATTCCAGCTACGTTGGGGAAGCTGTCAAAATTGCGATTCCTGTGAGTAAAGTTAATCTGAACGAGCAAAATTGTGACATAAATTTTACATTTTGTGATCAAGAATCTTTCTGCATTTCGTTTAGTTTCCTCAAATTTTTATTGTTTGCTGTTATGTCTTTGTAAGGATAGCCGGCTAAATAACAACACCTTGACGGGTCCCATTCCTTTGTCGTTGACCAATATCTCGTCCTTACAAGTTCTGTGAGTGTCTGAATTTTTTCTCAAATATTTTTAAGGGTTTTATTGCATTATACATCCTTCCTTTTGTTTGCTCTAACTGTTAGAAAAGTCATCGTGTTATTGATATTAACAAAATCACCCCTCTATAATGCATTTTTTAGCAAACTCACCGTTTGGGGGTTTTTGTGCTAAAAAAAGCATTATAGGGTTTTTTTTTGCTAATATTAGTAACACGGGGACTTTTTTAGTAATTCGATAAAACACAAGGGTACTAAACGCAATAACTCATAATTTCATATCATCTCACAATTTTATCATGCAGGGATCTTTCAAACAACATTCTGTCAGGTGAAGTTCCGGATAACGGTTCGTTTTCTTTGTTTACACCTATCAGGTATCTTCTGATTATATAGCAAGTGGAATTAATTATAAGTCAATTTTTTTTAAAGGATTTTAATCAGTTTCTGACATAGGTAATTTCTCGTTGGCAGTTTCGCGAATAATTTGAACTTATGTGGACCGGTCACTGGACGACCGTGCCCTGGTTCTCCTCCGTTTTCTCCACCCCCTCCGTTTATTCCACCACCACCAATATCTCTGCCAGGTTATCCGATTTTTTGTGTTTTAGCTTAATTTCATTACTTGGTTAACGACAAATCACAATGTAGCATAATCTTGTCTGATTATATAACTGTTCTTCGCCATCGGAGATCTTCAGTAGTCTTTACTTATTTCTGTATAAAAAAAGGGTCATTGAAAAAAAAATTGTGTAGTTTGGTGTAGCTTTCGAACTTTTTTTAGTTACGTGTTTTAATTTTCATTATAAACTATTGCTTAATATTAAATGGTTTTTGTTTTCTCGAATAATGGGAGGGAATAGTTGTGTAATAAAATATTTCCTCGAAATTGAGTTTCTATATTTTTTTTTTCTAAAATTTATCCAACTTTAGGAGGAAGTAGTGCCACTGGAGCAATTGCCGGTGGAGTTGCTGCCGGTGCAGCTTTGCTATTTGCCGCCCCAGCAATTGCATTTGCATGGTGGCGTCGCAGAAAACCGAAGGAATATTTCTTCGATGTACCAGGTTTCTAACTTTATCCAACAATATATAGTTCTTTATATACATAATAATCGTCTTTTTAGCTTCTCATAAAAAAAAAACAAAAAAAATTGAAAATAAAATAAAAAACTTCTCGAGTAAAATTTTCTGCATAACTTTTAACAGCTGAGGAGGACCCTGAAGTACATTTAGGACAGCTCAAAAGATTCTCTCTCCGAGAGTTGCAAGTTGCCACCGACACTTTTAGCAACAAAAACATTTTGGGGAGGGGCGGTTTCGGAAAGGTATATAAAGGAAGACTTGCAGACGGCACATTGGTTGCTGTTAAAAGGCTTAAAGAGGAGAGGACACCTGGCGGAGAGCTTCAATTTCAAACGGAGGTCGAAATGATCAGCATGGCGGTGCACCGTAATCTCCTGCGCCTGCGGGGGTTTTGTATGACTCCGACCGAACGGTTGCTCGTTTATCCGTATATGGCTAATGGGAGTGTCGCATCGTGCTTAAGAGGTAATAATATACTTACTTTTTTTTTTCCGAGATTCTTGATTTTTTTTTATTGCGATTTATCTAAATAGCATATGATGCTCTTGTTTAAGGAGTTCGTTCATAAGCGTAAATGTTTAAGTATTAGATACCTAATATATATGTATCTATGTATAGTTGTGATTTTTGAAATTGATTGATTTTCTTTAATATATATATTTACCGAATAAATATTATATAAAATTGAAATTGCAGAGCGTCCACCTAATGAACTACCGCTCGATTGGCCGACAAGGAAGTGCATTGCATTGGGATCCGCGAGAGGTTTATCTTACTTGCACGATCACTGTGACCCGAAAATCATCCATCGAGATGTAAAAGCTGCAAATATATTACTCGACGAAGAATTTGAGGCTGTTGTTGGAGATTTTGGTTTGGCTAAATTAATGGATTATAAAGATACGCATGTCACGACTGCAGTTCGTGGTACTATCGGGCATATAGCACCGGAGTATTTATCCACCGGAAAATCGTCGGAGAAAACCGATGTTTTTGGATATGGGATTATGCTTCTTGAGCTTATAACTGGGCAGAGAGCTTTCGATTTGGCTCGCCTTGCGAATGATGATGATGTCATGTTGCTTGATTGGGTATAAATATCTTCATCCTTTTTTATAATTTAATTTATTTTTTCTCGTTTTCCTTTTCTTCTCTATGGATTATTGTTTTATTTATTTATTTATATATATTCGCTCGCACCTACGTTGATGAAATTGATGCTCATTAGGTTAGAGCAACATGCGTTTGCTACGTATTAAATGAGCTTGTCGAATGTCCTATTGGAATATTAAATAATTAATTAAATTGAAGGCCTTTGATTTCCACTTATTCCGATCCGAATATTTCCAATTTTGGAATGGCATTTTTCATTCCGAACTCTGAAAGTTCCCAATTTTTGATTTTTCTGGTTTTTTGGAACAAAATTGGAATATATATTAGATTCCGAATTTCGATCCAGATTTTTTTCTTTTTTAAAATTAGACTTATAGTATCAGTGTTATTATTACGTATTTTATATTATAGGTGACTAAATAGTAAGAAATTCGATCAAAAAATTTCCAATTTTGGAACAAATTTTTTTCATTCAAATTTCCAAATTTCCGATTTCTGATTTTCCCGATTTTCTTTTTTGAATGGAATTAGAGTTAGTTTTTCACTTCCGAAAAAGAAATGATTTTTTCCGAAAGTACTAATTCCGATCCGAATTAGTTCTTCTTATTGCAAGTATATGCATCCATTTTCTTACAAGGCATATGCGTTTTCAGGTGAAAGGACTACTTAAAGAGAAGAAACTAGAAATGCTGGTGGATCCCGATTTGCAGAAGAATTACGTAGAATCGGAAGTGGAGCAGCTAATACAAGTTGCTCTTTTATGCACGCAAAGTTCTCCAATGGATCGGCCCAAAATGTCGGATGTGGTGAGAATGTTAGAAGGCGATGGATTGGCCGAAAAATGGGATGAATGGCAAAAAGTCGAACTTCTTAGACAAGAAGTTGAATTAATTGCTCCGCATTTGACTTCCGATTGGATTGTCGATTCTACTGAAAACTTACACGCTGTCGAATTATCGGGTCCTAGGTGACAAGACAACCTAGGAAAATTACTAGATTTTTCTGCTTTTGTTTTTCTTCTTTCTTCGATTCTATTAGGCGTATTCGTTGTACTTTGTGCATATATTGTGTGGCTTTTGAAAAGTTCGTGCCGTGACGAAGTGAGTATACGAGCCATTTGTATAACTAAGAAAGTTTGTTAACATGCGTGTTGGAAGGTTTGTCATTTTTGTGAACCATGAAAGAAAGAAGTATGGATTGCTGGCTAATTTGTTAGGTTTTTATTTACATGCAGGCTTTGACTTATTAATTTTTTTTTTTAAATCAATTTTGAAGTATGGGTTTATTTTGTTTTGGGGTTTTTGGTATTGTAAATATTGATTTGTAAAGAAAATATATCATTGCTATAAATTTTTTAACTGTATCCTAAGTGCATCTTTAAACTTGCTAGTATACAAGGAACCCTTTTAGAGTTTTAATTCTGATAGATGGGTAAATTACGGCCAACTCCGTGAGTTACGTTAAATTAAGAAAAAACTGCTCATGTTTGGGTAATTACAATCATCCATCAACTATGAATTTTTTTACACGTTCACCCTAATGGATTCAAATTCAACATAATCTTCTCTATTCTCGGTGAATGTTCTCTATTTTGTACTCGATTGTTTTGCTCAAAAAGACAATTTCTGAAAGAGTTGTACAATAATGAATATTTAAAAAAAATAAAATTAAAACAGTCGAAACGACTAATTATAATTTTTGTCAAGACTTTACATTATTTTTTGAATTTAAAAAGGTATGATTTCTATTATTTTAGTTAAAGTCTATGTATATTCACTTGTTTTGTTCTACCTTATGCAAATAATCCTTAAAGAAACTAGTTGGTTGTGGTAAACCGTAAATGCATGAAATATTGAAATTAATACGGTGAAATTTATCGAGATTTTTATTTGAAGTATTATGAAACATTATAAATACATCTGACTACGTGAATTCCGAAAATACCCTTCGCTAGAATGCACGTTCCGCGTGCTCGTCAACCACAGTTAGATATCACTATAGCTCTGGTAATTTGTTAACTTAACCACGGTTAATACACGATTACACTATAAAAACCCGCCTCGACGCTTTTCACCTCCCGCCAGTTCATTCAGCTCCACGGATTCCAAACTCCATAACAAACTCTCCCAAGTTCAAATTCAAAATTCTCATTTTCTCTCTCTAACTTTTCAAACAATGGTGAGCTGAAGAAAAATTCTCACTAGCTCGTTTCGCCTCTTTTTTTTTTTCTTCATTTGGAATGATAAAAAGCATCGCTGATTGTCGTCACTTCTCCGATTTCAGGTGGTTGCGCAGAAGCTGAAGGAATCGGAGATCACAGAGCAGGATTCGCTTCTTCTGGTTAATCACTCCATCCTTTTAGCATAATTTTTTTTTCATTTTTTCATTTTGTAATTTTCTTAATTTTACATGTTTCTGTTCGTTTCGTTTGTTCTTCACATGAAACGACCGGTGATTTAGCTTATAATTTTTTGTAATCAGGTTTTGATAGTGATGTAACTATCGGGTGAATCTAAATTTTTTTCTGATTTTATGAGTTCCAGCGTTTTGGACTGATCAGAATTCAGATCTGACTCGAAAATTTGCAGATAATCGCATTGGTGTTTAATTTTTGTATATTAAAGATGATGTTCAAAAGTTTTTTAGTATATGTTCACATTATCTAGGGTTCGTTGAGTTAAATAACATTTTGATTGTCCTTCTCTCTCTGGTTTGATTTACTGAATCATGAACTTCAATCTGTTTGATCCTTCTCTGCAATTTTGTTTTGGCTACGTTGGTATAGAAACCACACGTAAATTTATTTTAGTGCGATCTTAGTCATGATGCGACTATGTGTAACATAATTGGTGAATTTCACGAAATCCTTGTCAACTCGGATTTAGATTGGTCGATGTTTTTCAAATTTGGAAATAGCGGCAGTGGTTTGTGTATTTTTCTCTGAGTAAGTGCAGTTCTGTAGCTGCTGGACTGATTGCTGTGTGATTGAATTTTAGTTGACAGCATGTTATTTCGGATAAATTGTTTTGCACAGAGTAAGATCTGTGAGATATGGAATTCTCCCATAAATAATATTTGATTAATTATAGTTTTCTGAAGAACATTCAATTCAGAGAATAAAACAATACATGAGTGCTCTGGGAATATCCATTTGACATTTCTGGAATATTTGGCCTTCAAAGAGTAAAAACAATAACGGGAGTTACTCGCAGGACTCACTATTTGATGCGTTTTAGATATGTATTTTGAAATTTGTTATTAATTTAGAAATCCGTTGCTTAGAAGTTATGTGGATTGAATTTGCATTGTAACCAGTTTACTATTGTTGTAATTGCTTGGTGCTGGGAAATCTGTATGTGTCATAGTTGCACAAGGTCTTATAAAATGTATGTTGGTAATCGGTTACTTGATAAAATCTGGATCGCTACCAAAATTTGCTTGAGCTGGGATGAAGTAGCATTCTGTAATTTTCATCCTGATACACATATTTAATAGAACATTGTTTGCAATTTTTATCTTTATCTCTGTTCGAGTTAAATGAACACTTATTTATTTCATAATCTGTACCTTTTTTGAAATACACCATGTGTGATAAGCGTTCTGCAATTGAATTTTTACTTTTACCAGACAAGGAATCTGTTGCGCATTGCTATATTCAACATCAGTTACATCAGAGGCCTTTTCCCCGAGAAATATTTCAATGACAAATCCGTTCCGGCTCTAGGTAAGTTGCCAATTGTCATTGGTTATTCATGCTAAAGCTACAGGTTATTGAATAGAAATTAAGTCGTCTTGAAATTGTAACAGACATGAAGATTAAAAAGCTTATGCCTATGGATGCTGAATCGCGTAGACTGATTGATTGGATGGAGAAAGGTATACGGACATAAATTAAAGTTCCCAGTTAAAATCTTGTTTTCCGTATCTCTACATGCCCTGATCGGTAGCTCATTCATTTCTATGTTTCCCTTTCTTTGCAGGTGTTTATGATGCTTTGCAGAAAAAATATCTGAAAACACTCTTGTTCTGTGTCTGTGAGGCCGCGGATGGTCCAATGATTGAGGAGTATGCATGTAAGTCTTAAAATAAACATTGTTTCGACAAACACTACTGATGTAGAGAGACAGAGTACATAAATTCCAAAAAACAAATTGACAGAAAATTATGCTTGAACTTCTGCTTAATTGTTATTTATGCCTTTCTATTTGAGCATATATTGATGAAGTGCCTTTCTTGCAGTTTCATTCAGCTACTCTAATACTGACAGTCAAGAGGTTACCATGAACATCAACCGTAGTGGGACAAAGAAGGGAGGAACGTTCAAGTACAACTCCACAACAGAGATAACTCCCAGTCAGATGAGGTAGTTGAATCATGTAACTTCAGATAACTTTTTGTGGTTTAGTGTTTATATAAATAATATGATGATTATTATTTACAGGAGCTCAGCATGCAAAATGGTCCGTACGTTAATTCAACTAATGAGGACTTTGAATAAGATGCCAGATGAGGTGTAATTCTGGAGACTGAGTGATCTATATTGATTTATCTAGTTTTGTTTCACTACTCATATATGCCTTTTTGAGAGAGCTAATTCAGTTAATTACATTATTTTTCAGCGCACTGTACTGATGAAGCTCCTGTATTACGATGATGTCACGGTAAGCCTTTACTTTAGTAGGTTTCTGCGTGGGCTTTATCATTTCAAAACTTTCTAATGACTAATTGTATAATCTGAAACTTTTTAGTCAAATAATGGATTTCGGGTTTTTCACATTTATACTTTCTGATATTGCAGCCAATGGATTATGAGCCACCTTTCTTCAGAGGCTGCACAGAAGAAGAAGCTCAGAATCCGTGGACTAGAAATCCCTTGAAGATGGAAGTTGGCAAAGTGAATAGCAAACATTTAGTACTAACTCTGAAGGTACGGAATCACAACATAAATGAAAAGTTCTTACGTCATTTTCGTAGGCCTTACTAGTTTTTCCACACTGTTAAACTCGACAGGTTAGGAGCGTACTCGATCCTTGTGAAGATGAAAACGATGACAATCAAGATGATGAGGTTAGCTTGGGAGCAGATTCCGTCCAAAAAGATGAAGACACTGATTCTGACAGTGAGGTAATAATGCGTTAGTTGTACTTATAAACTTAAATTCATTACATGACCATCTTGTTTCAACATATCAAAACTTGTCTTTTTCTACCTCCCACTTCAGATCAGCAATTCCGATGATGATCAATACATCGTAGCACCCATAGGTAAAGTCCAGTCTCTTAATACAAATCCATCATTCATTATGATTTGCTGTTGTACAATCACACTTCTAACGTTTTTGTCTAACAGATAAAAAGCAGATTCAAGAAGATAATGGAGCACTCGATGAAGGTGCCGTATAAATCTAATGAAAAAATCGAATTGCAAGTTGAGAAAATTCTAATCTGTCTTGTATTGCAGATGATACACAGGATCCTGCAGAAGATGAACAACAGTTTGGACGAGTAAAGGATTGGATCAGTTCATACCACCTTGACACAGTTGAGCTTACTGATGTGCTCTCAAATTTCCCTGACATCTCAGTGGTAAGTATTCTTTACATGATTCAATCCTGTCCTTTTTTTTTTTTTTAAAGCCAACTTTTGCAAGTCGATGCTTTGACCTATGTTCAATTATTTGCAGATTTTGATTGAAGGTACATCTGAAGGGTCCTTCTGTCTTAAGCTAATAGAAACGAGGTCATGATTTCTGTAACTTTTGGTTTTTGAGTGATCCTAAATGTTCCTATGCTCCAGAAATTATGGACAAGCTGGTGAAGGAGAGTTTTATATCGAAAGCTGCAGAGGAGAGTTTTATCATTAATAACAGAAAGGTTATTTTTCATCATATTTCCATTTATCCCACTAATGTTCAGATTCATATCTAAAAAATTTTCTGACTCTCGTTTTTCTCCTTACGAACTACATCTGGTTATTAGAAGTTTGACTATGAGTTTGATGCTGTGAAAGAAGAAGTCGATGGAAAATATGGAAATTCGAGTGTAGATCACATGTACATGAAGGTGAATCTTTGAATTTTTTATTCTTCCATGAAGTTCATGCTTGAGGTGCTGTGTTATTACTACATTATCTCCGTCATGTATTTAGTCTTCTTTATATAATTTCATTCCTCATTTCAATTGAGTACCTACAACTTGCATCCATCGAACATAAAAATTTTTGCACGAAAATGTCTATATAGGCTGCTAACTGGAGACTGGTCAGATTATTGCTGCATCCACAAATATAATACATCATTGCATTTAAATATTTAAATCAAAATCTCGTGCTCTCCCCATACTAATTATGTCTTTTCATCTCAGGCCTTATATCACACTCTTCCAATGAACTACATATCAGTGACAAAACTTCAGAACAAACTTGAAGGCGAAGCCAGCCAGACCACAGTACGCAAGCTTATCGACAAAATGACACAAGATGGCTTCGTTGAGGCCGGTAGCAATCGCAGACTTGGTAAATAAACTGAAATGTCATCAATAAGTATTTCATTTCCTGACCAAAGTAAAGATGCTATCATTGATAGAAATGTGTTGTCTATTGTCTCAGGCAAGCGGGTGGTTCACTCTGATCTCACTAAGAAAAAGCTCGTTGAAATCAAAAAGCTCTTAAACTTAGATGCTATGGTATATTTATAAGATTTGTATTTTATTTTTACAACTGCTAAATCATCAAAATTTCTCTGTACTTATGGTTCAAATTTATCAGGACCTGGATAAGCAGGAATCGCTAGTAAACAAGTCCAACCATGCAGAACACGATAATACTGCCGGTGAACAATCTTACCTTCTTTGCTACTTTACTAATAAAATCAATGCCATGATTTGCTCAATTTCATAATCTAACAAATTCGATCTTTTTTTTTTTCATTTTAATTTTCTTTTTGGATATTAGGCAACAAGAACAAGGACTTATCGACGTGTGGTGGGCTCCACTCCATTGGATCAGATATCACACGAACAAGAGGTAGATCTGATGCATACATCAACGTCTCTACTAGGAATACTCCGACTAGCAGGGCTGAGGTATATGATTCCGTCATAAGCTCTCTTTGTGTTTTTTGAATAAATAATTAACGAGTAACTATTTCTACAGCCGGCAGCTTCTAGAGAGAGTTTTGTGCCTGGGGCTGATAATGACAGAGCTAATGCGAATACTAACCATGGTGATGACATGGACATTGTCATGGAAAGCATGCCTACTCAGGACAAACGCTTCAGAAAAACAAGCACGGTATGCCCAAACAGAGTTAATTAATCACCATTTAATATACATATATTTTTACTTCTCGAGCTTTTCTCTTAACGATTTATTTGTATTTAACTAAGTATGTTTGAACAATTACAGGCAAAGGACCCTATCCTGCAGTACTCAAAGCGCCAGAAATCTCAAGCTGTCTGAAAATTTGTCATGTCGTGATCCTACTTAAATGGTCGTCTATCTGGGGCTATTCACTTTCTCCGTTTCCCTGCTTCAAGCCCTTGTTTCGTTTATTCAGCACGTAAAGGTTATTTCTGTATACAATTATGACTGTGTATATATTTCGTTTTGTACGAACTAGTTCCACTTAAAAACTGAGACGACAGTTGCAATATGGCGTCGAAATGTTATGTGTATCAGGTGCTATCTATGACTATGGAGTTTTGTCACCACTTGACTGAATCGTTTGGTGTTCTATATGTTTGACGTTAACGTTGACAGTTTTGAATATCATAAAGAGTAGAATTGCGCAATCTAATTAATGATCGATGGTTGAATGATGTTTTGCTTGTCTTTATTGAAAGAGTTGTATCCGCGAAATTGTTAATGACACGCTGATGAATAGTTTTCAAGAAATAAAAGCTCGAAATGATCAATTATAATTTGTAACGCTGATGAATAGTTTTCAAGAAATAAAAGCTCGAAATGATCAATTATAATTTGTAACGAGTTTACATTCTATATATATTCCCTTGTGTTGTCCACTTTATACAAATAATCCATACAAAAAAAAAAGAAAAAGAAAAAAAACAAGCCTAAACTGTATCAATTCTTGGCTTTGTCACTGTATGTAAGTACTCAAATTCGGCGACCATATTACACTTATAGTATGGATAACTTTATGTATTGGGGGTGATTAAAACTAATATCAAATTTTTCTCACTTTCATACCAAAAAAATAAAATTAGGATAATAAATAGGTAATGATATAAATATCCTTAATAAAAATCAATACCATAAAAACATTAAAAATCTTATTTTTCTTTCTTCAATACCAACCACACAAAAATCCTAAAACCCATCTTCTTCTTCACAAATCCCTCAAGCTCCTCCTTCCTCACAAAAAACTCTCCTAAAAAATTTCAAAACTAAATAAATTAAAACCTCACACAACTTGTAAAATGGAGTCAAATGACAACAAGATGATAATTTACGACCAAGGAGAACACATTAAGGTATGTATCCATGCCTTTTTTGGGCTTCGAAGTCGATTTTGAAGTTTTTCTTTTTGAAATCCGCCGACAATTTTCGAGACATACTTGTCGAATTTTTTGTCAATTTTCGAGACATACTTGTCGAATTATTAATGTGTTTACAATAATTTTATTGTCAACCACAATAAAATTACTATCGACGGTCAGCGGCAGACGGAAAATAAATTCAAAAAAAATAAAAATCAACGCCACTGGAGATCATTGTTGACCGCCGGTCAGCGACGGAAAAAACATAAAGAAAGAAAGTCTCCGACGGTGGGAACATTATTCAGAAAAAAAAAAAATTAAAATCGAATTTTTGTTGTCAAAATTGATAAAATTAGAATTATTTTTATCATAAACATTAAATTTGCGTTTATTATAATACATGTTAACGAGATGAGGAGATAAAACACCTAAACGTAGATCAATAAAGGTTGTTCGTAAAGACGTCTTCACAAAAAACCCTACTTTTAATACAACACTATATTACAATAGATAACTTCTTTCACAAGTCATAAATAAACAAAAGCTACTTCACAACAAGGTAATATAATATCTACAAAATCCGACATAATTAATTATTTGCCTTATTAAGTAAACATGGAACTAACAACGTTAATTAAGAAACTATATACACAACTCCAGAAATTTACCAAAAGCATATATTATACACATCACTTAATTAGTAATTACAAATCTATATTAGACTTGTATACATGGTAATTAAGTCTTTCACTAACCCTATAAATACACCAACAAAAAATATTCTTCTTACAACAAAATATTCCTAGGCGCCAAACCTACAAGAAAAGGGAAGAAAAAAAAAACCATGATCTCGAAAACCTTGTACTCCACGAAGAAAACATTCTATTACGAGTTCTTACGAACCAAAGAAGAAGAAGAAGAAGAATCAAGAATATGCATGTCGGAACCAGCCGGAGATCAATACTGCCGCCGCCAGCTGGTGGAGATACGTGACATATATCCACCTCCGGCGGCGGATTCCGACGGCCCTTGGCGGATCAAGAAATCAATAAACCAGCACGAAATCGATTCGGGAATAATCGAACTAGAGTGGGACGACGTGTTTGAGCACGTGCTTCGGTATTGGAAGATGGGATTGGCTAACTACATTGCTATGGGGGTGAAGGTTCACGTAATTATTTTTGATGTTACGCAAGAATCTTCGCCTAGGAAGTACGACGGGCAAGATGCTTATTTGCAGCTGGTGGGAAAAGACGAATTTGTCCTCGGCTGCATGGGGTTGATTAATAAGGACAGGAATTTGAAGGTGGGTGACGAGATTTCGTTGTACTGGGACGACAAGGCAGCTTGTTTTCGATTCAGATCGATTAATGTCGAAACATGATTAAGTAGGAGTTTTAATTTTGAGTTTGATAATTAGGTAGCAAAAGTTTATTAGGGTTTACATTATTTAGTACACACACTAGCTAACACACAATTATAGGTTTTAAGTTATAGAAAGTACTTTTCTTTTTTTTTTCAATTATACTTTGCTATATTTTCTGGATTTATTAGGGTAAATTACAACCACCCCTGAGGTATGGTCAAATTACGAAAACCCCCTCTTGTTTGGATAATTACAACCACCCCCTCAACTCCTCAAATTTAGTGGAATTTTCGAGATTATATGGAATATTATCACTTTGTACCCGTTTTATCCAATTCGAACTCTATATTTTGAAGCAAGATTATCATAATATGTGTTTTTTGGCTTGTATATATCAAACTGTGGTGCATCAGAAACTGTATTTTTACACAAAACAAGTACAAACTAGAGCACATTCCACGAAATCTAGATGATTATGTGAATTTGACACCATCAGGGTGGAGGTGTAAGAAAAAAACATAGTTGATGGGATAGATGTAATTATCCAAACAAGAGGGTTTTTTTTTTTTTTTTGTAAATTGACCATTTCCCAGGAGGTGTTTGTAATTTACCCGGATTTATTATTTTTCCTATAAAAATTAAAAAAATTCTTATATTAAAGCATTATCGACCCCACGGACTTAGAATCCTGACTCAGCTAATGTATATCAACGTTGTATAATTTATTTGTGAATTTCGAGTTTTTTTTCACACACATAAATAACTACGACCCCCAGATTTTTTTTACTGCATTCAGTGTCCCCGGGCTGTAAATTATGGCTCCGCTAGTGCTTGCTTCCACCAAATAGTGGAAAAATAATTCGTATCAGAATTACTTTCTTTTTAAAAGAAAAACTAATAAATTAATTTTGGGTTCCAATAAAAAAAAACAATAGAAAAGTAATAAAAAATTATTTAAAAAAAAAAGAAAAAAAAAAATTGAATTAAAAAACTCATGTAGTTCAAACCAATTTCCACCAACTCCAGCATGAACATCACTTTGTCATTGTCACAGAAAAACTCCAAATCCCAGGATTTAGAACTCCCCGTCAAACGATGTTGCAACTAATAAATGGTGGATAAAACAAAGTTAATTCCTTCAATCAAATCTTGGTCAAAAACGTGTCCCCGAATTCAGAAACCGCGTTTATTGTGTCGCAAACATTATATATATACACACATATACAAGACTTATAACAGTTCAAAATAACATCTGCAAGCTAAGAATTACTGAATACTAACTACAATGAATGTAACTCACATCTCTCAATTCAATAGTGCTACAAATTATATTATACTACCATTTTGTCGTCCGAAAAAAATGAGAGTTATTTCGTGCAAAGCGACCGATGAATTCAAAAAAGAGCTATCTGCTTTAAATTCAAAGAGTGCAAATGTAGATCAAATAAAGAAGGCGTACCGTAAAATGGCTCTTCGTTTTCATCCCGACGTATGCGATCCATCCAAGAGAGAAGAATCGGCTCGCATGTTCATTGAGTTAAACAAGGCGTACACGAGTCTTTTAAATCAAGAATTTCAAGAAAGTGACGGTTTTGAATCGGGAGCGTCGAGGGCGAAATGGGAATTCCAGCTTTCGGAACTTAAGAGGAAATCCCGTTCGAAACAAGTGCAAAGTGAGGGAAGTTGGGGATGTAGAATGAGAGCAAAACACCAGTAGAAACAAACTACACTTCTCTACCATTTTTTTTTTTTTCCTGCAATAATTCTTTGATTATTTGAATTATTTTTCTTGCATTAATCATAATACAATAAAAAATTGGGTAAATTACGGCGGCCACCTCTGAGTTAAGATCAAATTACGAAAAAACCCGTCATGTTTGGGGTGGCTGTAATTTACCCGAAAAAATGTAAAATTGTTTTTACATTATGTTCATTGTTATCTTTTGGTAATGAATAGTAACACATAGCAGGGAATTACAAAATTAAATGTGAACGACAAATAACGGGTTTCAGCAAAAAAAATTATTTGCCGATGCAGAATTTGCCGAAAATGTTCGACAAAACTTCTTCGGAAATATCTTCTCCACTTATTTGGGCAAGAGCTAAAGCTGCTTCTCTGAGATCAATTGTCCAAAAATCGAAAGGTATTTCTTCGTCGATCGAAGATTGCAACCTTACGAAAGCCTCCCTCGCTCTAACAAGCTGCTCGCATTGCCTCTGGTAATTAATTACATTTTTAAATTAATCGTTAATTCCGATAAAACATAATTATGAATGAATGAACGAAAGGAGAGTAACCTGGTTGACAGTCCATTTGCGGCCCCCACAAGGAATCTTATTGAGACCGACGAGATCCACTATAGAAGATTCTAAATCGGAGATGCCTTGACCGGTCACAGCACATGTAAATACGAGTTTGTCGAAAGAGCTCGAAAGTCTATCGGCCCATTCACAATTAGAAGACGAAGAAGCGCAATCGATTTTGTTCACCACAAGAACTAACGGAGTACTCGATGAAGATGCCCTCTGTCGATTCACGCAAAACGATTAATAAGCATGTTATCATAAGTTCCCGCCCGGAAAAAAAAAAAAAGGGTTAATTCCACTTTCCCCCTTGTACTTTGGCTCGATATCACTTTACCCCCTACTACTCTCAATTGCATCGATTTGCCCCCCTATACTTGAAAAATGGTATCAATGTAGCCCCCGTCGTTAGTTTTTGGACATTTAACCTCAACACCGTTAGATCTAAGTCCGAAAATTAAAAAAATCACCCCTCCCAGTTTAAATAATTATTAAAAAAAATTAAAAAATTAAAGAAAAAAAAATTGTTGCTGCCATCGTAGACTATGTTTTCTCGTTGTCTTAATTTTTTTATTATTTTATTTTGTTTTTTAATTTATTTTTTGTTTTTTAATAATTATTTAAACTGAGAGGGGTGGTGTTTTTTTGTAATTTCAGAGCTTAGATCAAACGGTGTTAAGGTCAAATGCCTGACATTGAGACAATTTTTGAAGTACAGGGGGCAAATTGATGCAATCGAGAGTAGAAGGGGTAAAGTGATATCGAGCCAAAGTACAAGGGGGAAAGTGGAATTTACCCAAAAAAAAATGACGACAGACCTTATTGCTTTGAATCCTTTCGAGAAGCCTGTCATCCTCTAAAGTCCACCCCTCGGCAGCACTCACGGTCAACACGATGACATCAGCACTCGTCGCGACTGCTTCAGACCTTTCAACACCTTCAACCAAAAATATCAAAATAACAAAAAATATAATAAATAAATACAATAAAAAAATAAAAAAATAAAAGAGGAATAATAGGCTTACCGATTTTTTCGACGACATCATCGGTGTCCCTAATACCAGCTGTATCGAGAAGTGTGACGGGAATTCCACCGACAGTAATATTGGCTTCTACTATATCTCTTGTTGTGCCGGCAATATTTGTAACTATTGCTCTCTCACTCTGTTACGCTAAAAATGTACGCACAACTACACTATTAGGAATTGCATAGAAATAATTCCGATTCTACATTTTGAAATTAAATCAAAAAAAAGGGACAAATAAATTGAAGTACCCTGTTAAAGATATACAAGACACCGCCTACTACAAAAATTGAATGAACCGAACTCGTATTATGTAAAGTAAAAACGAAACTAAAGGACTTGACCCTTTTCGTGAATTCAAGTAAAGGCGTAAACAAAAGGTAGTTCGTGAAAATATAGCAAATAAATCATCATAACGAGGGTAAGAATAAAGAACCCTAATGCAATTTAGGGCACAATAATCATAGTACAAATTACGAGGAGGAAAACTAGCAACGAAAAAGGATTTATAGAGGAGAATAAGCTTTTGAAACATACTTTGCTCCATGCGTTAAGAAGGCTCGATTTCCCAACATTTGGTCGGCCAACAATTGCTATCTGCACACACTTTAGTAATGTTACACCACAAAGCCAATAATTCAAAAATCAAAACTATGATCAAAATACAAGAAGAAACAACAGAATTTTATATGCCCCCAAAATATTCTCTTTGGAGTAATTTTTGCGTCCCAAATTGAGGTGGGAATTGGACCGAAATTTCCGATTTCCGCCGATTCCGATCAGAAATTTTCCGAATTTGGAACAATAATTTTCAATCTGAATTCCAAAATTCCGAGTTCCGGTTTTTCAGGGAAATTACTTGGATTGGAATTGGAAAATATATGAGATTCCGATTTCCGTTCACATTATAAGTTCCGAAAATAATCGCAAATTCCAAATTTTGTTTTCCGGATATTACACTTAAAATACCAAAATTATTGTGTATTTTATAATTTAGGTGACCAAAAATTAAAATTTTCCAAATTCCACCGATTTCCGATTTTAGAACAAGTTTTTTCATTCCAATTTCCAGAATTCGGATTCCGATTCTCTCCGGAGTTTTTTCAATTTTTTCGGAAAGGGCTAATTCCGATCCGATCCGTCCGATTTACACCCCTAGTCCCAAATTATTTGTGACTTTATAATTCCAATAATGCAATAGTTGCACATTTTTCAATTTTACCCTTTATCACTTTTAATTAATTGAAAGATAATTAGCCGAGAAACAATTAACAATACGGGTATTTTAGTGATTTTTTATACCTTTAGCCTTAATCGATGCATATTTCATTGATTTTCTTAGTATGTGCGCAACATATATTGTGCGACGGAGGGAGCACAATTTCTTACTATATTTTCTCAATAATTCCATCGTATAAAAATTAAAATTTAATCCGAAAATATATGATCGACAAAGTACCTGTACACCTGACTGTAGAAGCTTGTCGTAATTGGCAGTTTCCAAAGCATTATCCACTTCCCGCAACATCGTACATATTTTATTTACGACTAAACCGGAATCGAGGGGCGGCATCTCATCGTCAAAATCAAGGCGAGCTTCTATCTCTGTTAGTAACTCAATGCACTGTGCTCTTAACAATTTCACCATACCGGAAAAGCCCCCCTGTCACAATATAAATAAAAATTCTGATTTTTATTTATATTTTTTTTCACATGATGGAATTAATGCGACAATCATTATTATTACATGAATGTTGATTCGATCCAATAAATTTTTAAATGAATTTTTTTTAAAACGGGACCTGTATTCCTGCCAATGCAGAATCTGCAGCAGCTGTTGAATTAGCTGATATAAGTTTTCCCACATTTTCAGCCTGGGCTAGATCTAAACGGCCGTTTAAAAAAGCACGGAGAGTGAATTCACCTGCAAGATCGAACATTTATTAATAAATATTGCTCGAAAGTGAAAGTAGAAAAAAAAACTAAACTAAATGAAACTCTAAGGTCTCGTTTGGTTGAGAAAAGATAAGATCAGCCAAGATAAGATTAAATAATCTAATGAAACCCAATTGTATTATTAGACCTTGGAAGATCCAATAAATATTTGCGAGTCGACCCGGCAAATATTTCGAGAACCTCCATCGGAAATCAGGAAAAGAAAACGCATACATTTAAAATCATTTCAAGATTTAATAGCTAGTACGAACCATTTTAATGTTGTGTTACATCTAGTTACCACATAGTTGAACCATAGAATCTCGTTAAATTTGAAATTCAGGCATCGTTGGTTGTCAAGATAAGATTACATAATCTAATGAAAACCCAATTATTTTATCGGGCCACAGAACGTCCAACAAAAAAACACCTTAAGAGGCAAGATAAGCCATGATAACCTAATATTTGCGGGTCGACCCGGCAAATTATTGGGGATACCAAACATCAAACAAAGTCCAATTATTTTGTTCATAATAGCTAATCTCCCCAACCAAACGAGGCCTCAGAGTATTATTAAAAGAATAAATGTTATACATATGACGGCACTAGAAAACATTTACGGTCCGACGGCCTCCTAACAGAATTCCGAGTCAACGAATTAGGAAGATAGTATTTATATTCATATATTAATCGAGCAAAAAATCAAGAAGAAGCAAAAACCTGGTTCTGCCAGCCTGGCACCAGCATCTAGGCAAGCCCTTAAGACACGACGCAGACACACTTCACTGCCATGACACTGAAGCTCGATCACATCTTCACGAGTATACGATTTCGGACCCAACATAGGTACAACCAACACCTAGTGCAAAAAAACTCCGAATTTCATTTATTTTCATGTAAAAATATTATCTTGATTACACTCAGGAGTTGTTTGCAAAAGCATTTCGAAACAGCTTCTGAGCTTTTTTTTTTTGCTCATAATCTGTTTTTATGTGTTTGCAAAATCAGCTTCTCTTAAAATAAGTTGTTTTAAGCTATTTTTTCCAAAAGCACCTTGAGACCTGCTTTTGTCAATTTAAGTTCATTTTCCAGCGTATTTACAAACACCTGCAACTTTTAGAAATAAGCACTTAATACCCACTTAACTCATAATCAATAACTTCTGCTTTTGAATAAGCTTTTGCAAAACACCACCTAAACTGTGTTCAATAACTTTCCCTTCATTGGCCTCTTCATCTCATTTCTAATTTGCTTTAAGATAATTTGATTAAAAAAAACTAGATTAAAAAAAAATTGAATTAAGTCATTTACGAGCTAGATAACGAATCACAAGATAGAAGGCGAACCAAAAGAAGCCAAAGTTCTCTCTCTAGCTTAGATAACTTTCGACGAAACAAAACTCATCAAAAGAGAAACCAGAACGCTAAATTTCGCCTTCTTTACTTTCGATCAACACTTATAAAGTAACTGATTTTCCCTCAGCAGAAATTGTAGCATTCACTAAAGTCATCAAAATAAACACAATCTGCAAAAATCTCATTCACAACATCATTTATTCAAGAAACAAAAAAAAAAAAAAAAAGATTAGCAGTACCTCATCGATGACATTGCAATTTGAATCGAAAACAACACCATACTCAACAACATGGCTAGTAGGCGACCAAGAAAAGTCCTTTCTCCTCTTTCTTGATTTGGGTTGAAAAATCCGACCAACAATATAAACCGCAGATGGACCGGATAATCGAATAATCCCCACTGCACCCGGTGGGCCCCCCAACGAAGTCACTATGGCCGCAATTGTGGTTGAACTCGAAACCGGCTCCAAGCTGCTCACTTCTCCATTACCCAATCTCTCATCTTTCCTTAGTACCAAAGTGTCCTCTATGCATATTTTAACAACGCACATTCATTTAGAATTCAGACACAATCATATACAGTTAAATCTCTATAAATTAATGCAGCCGAAACTAGCAAAATTCTATTAAATTAGCGAAATATTAAATTATCGAACTAATAATTGAATAGGTTTTTACCGAGTCGGGACCAGAAGAAACTATAATTCAATCGAGGTTATTAATTTATCTTCTCACACATAATTCACTCAACTTTTCAAGAATCTTCACAAAAAAATTACACTTAAGGCAACTATATAATTTTGTCAGAAAATCCCAGATGGTCAACTCTTCCGTTGACTTCAGTACCAGAATTTTTTCTGTAATCCCATAAACATAAAATAGACTTTAAAAAAAAAATTGTGGGCATTATCAAGAATCAGAAATAATACACATATCTTTTTTTTTTTTTACTTGTGAATTAACCTCAGAAGGAATTAAAAGATTGAATCTTTTCGTAAATGTAATGAGAAGAAATGGTACTTGCCTTTAGCGAGTTTAGAGGAGACAAGAGTCCGAGGATTGGTGGGTTTGTAAGAAGTGGAAAAGATGAGAGAGAGATTTCTTCTGTGAATTTGATTTGATAATTTGGGGAAAATTGATGCATATTTGCAGCGTTGCAATTGATTAATTAGATTGCGGAATGCTAGTGGTACAGCCATTACTTTCTGCTGCTATGTTCTTCGAGGTTTACATACAATCTCTTTTGTCCAAAATCCTAATTTATCTAGTAATTAAATATTGACCCTCAGTTTTAACAAATATTACATGTTAACCCAATCTTTAACAGGGGAAATTACAAAAACCCATGTAACAAGAACACTTATTAAAAGAGGCCAGGGACATCCTACATAGGGGTGAAAGTCGGATGGATCGAATCGAAATTAGCCTCTTCGGAAAATTTCCAAAAAAATCAGAATTACAAAATCAATTCCAATTCCGATTCCAAAAAAATTCGGAATCTAAAAATTCATTCCGATTCCAAAAGGCTCGAAAATTTCCGAATTTTGGAAAAAAATCGGAAATCACATAAGCTTAAAAATTTCAAAACTTAGCGGAAATTTTCTCAAATGTTCATAATTTTCGAAAAATAAGAACATTCACGTCGATAAAAATAAAACTAATAATTACTAAATTTCATTTCAAAAAATAAATAAAAATAAACACAACATAATATCTAATAAAACTTCTATAACAATACATTATGTCAAAATCCTAAAACAAAACTTACATGTATATTTTTCGGAAAAATAAGTATTATATAATTTTTATTATTTATAGGTGTATTTTTTGGAAAAAAAAATCGGAATTTTTCAGAATTAATTTCGGAAATCAAATCGGATCGGAAATCGGAAATTCCAAATTTATTTTATATAATTCCAATTCCAATCCAAAAAAATCGGAAAAATTCGGAAATCGGAATTTCGGAAGTCAGAATGAAAAAAGTTGTTCCAAATTTGGAACTTTTTCAATCAGAACCGGCGGAAATTGAATTTTTCGTTCCAAGTTGCACCCCTAATCCTACTTTTCTTGCTAGCAAATATATTCACCCGTCCAAACTTTATTTGCAACTAAGACAAATTCTTTTATATTTACCAACAGTACCCCTAACTCATTCAAACCCCAATTCACACCCAATTTCATAATTTAAACCTTAAGTTAGTCCAAATTTCCTCAATTATCAGCTTTGACTCCGAACCCAATTTTGACTGTCGTCGTGGGTGATCGTCATTGACCGCCGGTCTCAGGCGTTGATTATTTAAAAAAAAAAAAAAACAAATCTGACAGGTCAACAAGCGTTGACATTTTTTTAAAACCTCTTTTTCAGTAATATTATTGTCCGCGGCTGTAACGACAATATTTTACTGTCTTAGTGCAATATTACTGTCTGCGACCATATGTGTTTTTATATTATAAATCAAGTATTATATTATTTATTAGGGGCTCTTTGACATAACTAGGGGTGTGAACGAGCCGAGCTCGCCTCTTTTGGCTGGCTCGAGCTCGAGCTCGAGTCTATTTTGTCGAGCTCGAGCTCGAGCTCGTCGAGTTCCTGTTTTTTTGGCTCGAGCTCGAGCTCGAGCCCAAGCTCATTTTTTTTTAATAATTTTCTAATCATTATTTTATTATTATTAAAAATTATTTAATAAAAATACAAAATAAAAAATAAATTGTAGTTATATATATTTTTAATATTTTTATTTATTTCTATAATATTTTATATTATTATATATTATTGAAATAAAAATAACATATAAAAAAAAAAAATAATAATAATAAATAAGGCTCGCGAGCTCATGAACAACTAAAAATCGGCTCGAGCTCAGCTCGTTAGAAAGCTCGAGCTCGAGCTCGAAAAACTCGAGTTCGAGTTCGAGCTTTATACGAGCCGGCTCGTCGG